GCCAGAGCAGAGCTGGGTGTGACCCTGCCACGGGTAAGCGGGAGGGATCAGCGTTGCCACAGACCTCCGTCGGGAGTCAGCAGACTGCTGAAGCAGTTGCTGGATGTTTGTCTTTGACTGGAAAGCTGGATAAAATTACTGTATTTCCAGAGTCTCTTGAAAAAGCCGTGTGCTATACAGGGCTGGCAAAGGAGGTTACAGTGGCCAGTGTCCACATGTTTTAATTCTCTAAGGTCATTTCTTTATGCTCATCTCCTCTTTTTGGTCTGAAACTTCATTTCCCTTTCACAGCTGTGAATTCTCTGGTGGGCCCTGCAGATGGGTTTGATAAATGCTGCTAATATCACCTTCTGATCTACCAAGGCTCTGACTTTGGTCTGTAGGTCTTGATGAGTAATTGCCGTTGTTCTACTCCAATGACTGAATTAAGTTGGCCTGTTCTAAAGGGTTCATCCGTGTGTGATTTTAGCCAGGGCGCCCATCGCAGCATCCCGATGGACATTGACCTTTTAAGAGTGCCTCATCGCTTCAAACTGAAGCAAGCAAAATTGCCTTGATTCCTACAACTGGCTAAACTCTGTTATAACCCTTTGATTACTGTCAAGCTTTGCGATACCGAAATTTAGTATTCCAGGTAATGGTTCTCTTTGGCCAAAGCACACACTGCTTAGCCACGGGCGGGCCCAGGAGCTACAGGGACGCTGAACTGCAGCCCATGCTCCAGCCCTGGGGCAGGGGGGTCGCTGCAGTCCCCGTTCGAAGGACTGCCCAGCACCCAGACCATCTGTCCAGCCCTGCTCGGTTTCTTCTTACTGAGCGGTGTGGGGGCCCTGCAGACAGTGCCTGTGCATGCCCTGGCGTCGTGCATTGCCTTCTCCTTCACCCTTCAACGTCAGTGCGCTTGTACGGCGTCGTGCTGGCAAGAAAAAGGGAGGGGAAAGCAGAACGCTCTTCAGCAGGCTTTACGGGCGACACAGTTGCCTGGAAAACCAGCGGGTTTGGCAATTCCCTTAGGAGGTGATGGGCGCTGCAGCTGGTACAGGCAACAGCCCTAAATGCTTTTAATTCTACTCCAGTTAAATAGGGAATATCCTTTACTGCAAATGCAGAATCAAATTCTTTGATTCTGTGCAGAGAACTTCATTACTATCCAGCCAATTCCCGCTCAGGTCAATAGGAGCTTGAGCACACAAACTAATAGAAGCATGTGGCTCTTGAAGTGTGCTAAATGGAAATACGTAACTCCAGACTGCAAAGTCCTGTTCTTAAAAATCATATCCTGCCCTGTGAGGTTTCTCTCACGGTCAGAGGCCGGTGGGTGCGCGCTGCGTGCCCCCTTACACGTCCCGTGGGGCTGTATTCCCCGAGGCTTGGTATCCCTGTGTCTCCTGGGGTGTTAGCTGGCCATAGATGCATTGCTCATACGTACGGATGGTATTTCCCTGTGGAAGATGTTAATCAAACATTCGTGCTGGGCTGGTCACTGAGCATCGTAGAGCAAGTATCTTCACATAATAGCAGCAACTCAATGGTTACAGCAGATAAAACAGAGGCCCTGCATCATCCTTGCTATCACTTAGGTATAAATACGTCAGTGAAATTGAGTTGGGGGAAAAAAAAAACCAGTATTCTGGACCTCCTATGACATATAGTTCTGGAATTAACTTCCAGCCGCAGCGTTTTAAAATCTCTGTGTAATTGCTCAAATTACCCCAGCATGTCATGTAACACCTTAAAGATCTGGTTCTTAGGGATGATCTTATAATGAGTAAATTAAGTAGAACAATATATTGATTTCTAGGCTTTGAACTTAATTTCTTTGTCATTTTTAAGGCATTTAGAGTGACAGACATAGTCATGTTTACTGTTAGAGCAATTACATTACTCACAGTGCTCTTCAGTGTACAATACTCAAATAGGCGAGCAGTTTGTGCTGAGAAGTGCCGTGACAGAGTAAGTTCCGAGGGGGGGGTAAATACAGTGGTATGTGCTTTAGAAGTACAGACATTGCCCTCTGCGATTCTGCCTGCTCCTCAGCATCATCTGGCCATATATTAATTTTCATCCGTTTTCTGTAGTGCCTGAGCAGCTGCAGGCACCCCTGTACCTGGCAGAAAGCAAACGCAATTAAACGATGCCCGTGTCAGGTCCCGTTCCTCCTCTTACTAAGTCGCGTTGAGGGACAGTGACGTTTCTGACTGTTGGTGACAAGACCCAGCGAACACCTTCGTTTTTCACCAATAATCTCACATTTCGAGATGACGGGCTTAAAACGAGAGCCCAAGTGCTTTTGATACCCAAAAAACTAACAACAGTTAAAACACGCTCTGCTGCTGACAAATGCGCTGGGTTTTTCTCAAAGCGCACAGGCCTGGTTTCCATCGCCTCCCCCACTCCCTGCCGTGCTACCAACCAGGTACACGAGGAAGAGCCGCGAGCTGGGGTCACACTGCGGTCCCGAACACACGGGTACCATGTCACTGCCCGTCCCAAGGGCGAGCAGGTGCCTCTTGGCGCGGTTTGTGGGCACGTTTGCACAGAAGGCTACGGGTGCTGTAACTCAGTCGCTTAATATCGAGGGAAAAAAAGAAACTCTTTGTTAAAATGAAATAGTTATTTAAAGTATAGCACAAAATAAAACTTTGCGCAAATAATCCAGTGGGAATACTTAACTGTTTTACACGTGAGGATGAATTGTCTGCAACGAGCATTCCCTAAGTATTTCCTCTAGGCACCTCGTTGGGCTTTTGGCATCCAGCGAGTTTCTGGCGTTGCCATTTCAGGTCTAGGGTGCCCCTCTACCCGGGGAGACTCGGGAGCCGACAGGAAGCACTGCGCACAGTGTGGTCGTGTGCCCGTTATCTGCCCTCGCTGTCGCCAGTGGCAGTAGCTCATCGCCCAGCACAGACCCAACCAGCCAAGCACCTGCAGCAGATAACCACGTCCCAACCTCCTTGGGCCGTAACGCACGGCCAAATGCTTCGTCCTCTAAGCCCCAGCCAGTGTTTAGTTTGCAAATATCATCACAGCCAGACCAACCTGAACGTATAACATTTTGAGAGTGTGAATTGGTGCGAGAGGACAACGCATCTCTTTAACATCGCCAGCCCTCGGAATGCCCGAGAGCAATTCCTGCCATTGTGTTCCATGGAGCATTGTTCTTTTATCCAGTCCTCACGGCTTTCACACTTCAGGAACAGCCCTCATCCTCCTGGTGCTTCCACTTCCCTCCGCTCATCTCTTTGCTTGGCAACAGTAGGAAAGATGTATTTGCGCTGGATGGATAGACATCCACTGCAAAGAAGAGTTTTAACTGGGGATGGCAGACTTTTTTTCGTATGCTGAATTCACAGGGGGCGGGTAACGCCTCTGAGGTGGAGACACGTGGGGCGGGAAGAGGACGGTAGCGCTTGTTCTCACAGCCAGTTTGCATGTGTGTATTGTGGCTGCACGTCTGTCTGCACCTGCTTAAACGCAGGACCCCGGTCTGGAAAGCTGCATGCCAAACCACCTTTCCCTGAAGTGTGCTGAGATGGCTTCAGTAAGGGTAGCGGCTGAACCACGCCGACAGTTTGAGCACGGTATTAGATACGGACCGTAAGCTTCCACACGGGTCTTTGTCAATATTGATCCGAACGTCTCGGACGCTCGGGCTTTTGATCAGATGTTAAAGCATGACCAAATTCTCTGCAGTTACTGCATTGCCAAATCCTCCCCACCGCGGAGCCGGGGGTAAGCTGCCCCTTACCTGACGGCCTCATGCGCACGCATGTGCGCATCGCAAGATGGCGACTAGAACCCGAGGGGGGCCGGGCCTTGGAGAGGTGGCTAATCAGCAGTGCAGGTGGTTCAGGTAGCTGCTTTTCACACAGATAATTAATGTGTACAAGTAGCTGCTAATTGCACATTTCAGGAATGATTTATGAGGTGGCGGAGGGGAAGAGGAACGCAATCTAATTTCTTTGGGAACCTCTGCCATTCATACAATGGTATCAGCACAGCTGTGAGATGGGACATGATTAATGAACAGCGGGCAAACACGCCGCCAGCCTACGGGATGCGGTTTGGATGACACGCTTGTCAAAACAGAACGCGGCACTTAGAGTGACGGCCAGTAACAGCGCAGATGATGAGCTTTTTGTCTTTTAACTCGCTAATTCACTTGGACGTCAGGCTTCACTCCAGCCGTGCTTCTGAAGTAAGGTCGTTTATGTCCATCAGAACAATTACGGGTGTAATGTGGACGATGATCATTGACTTGTTATGAGCGGGTTTGTGTTCATGAACAAAAGCCTGCAGGTATTTATTTTCTCCGCAGAGGTCATGGGGAAAACAAATTTGGCAAGGACTAATATTTATAGATGACATTAAACCGAGCCTTATGAACGTCCCTGGTAGATACCTGCTGCTAGCGCGCTGTCTTGGCTGCTGCCTGGGAGCAGTTTCCCCGCTGTCACCCCCCCTCTGGCTGCTATCTGGCAGGCACCACCCACAGGAGGCGCGCAAACCACCCCTTGTCTTTGCTCAGGAAGAGTGATGGGCACATCCTTGGGCTTATCACACCTTCTTATCTGAGCTGAAGATAATAGAGAGTAATACGAGACTTCGTGCTGGCATTTCTGTGGCCTGGCCAGCGTACCAGTTTGCCCTACCTTTTTATGCCAGTCCGGTTTAGCTTTGCAAAGATTGCTGAGATTAAAAAACCAAACCCCAGCCATCTCGAAGTAGCAAGCGTACATATAGGCCACTGCTGTAAAGAGCCCGCGTTGGGCGTTTCACTGGGGCGGGAAGGAACGTTCTGGACATTATTCTCAATGGACTGCTCGTGTATCGCGATAGTGCTGAGCAGTTTGCACTGTGTGCTAACAACTACTCTATGAGGACATGCCTCAAGCTGTGTAATCAAAGTCTCTGTTTATTTCCTTTTATATAATGTAGTATTTTTAGATTGCTTCAGTTCAACACTAAAGAGTGAATACATTTATTTCTGTCTTTTGTAGCTTTTAGAATTTGACAGAGAGCTGTCAGTCTTTAAAGACAGATTGTATGAACTGGACATCTCATTTCCTCCCAGGTAAGACCTGTATATAATCCGTTTATTTAACTAGCTAGCTAAAACATGCTTGTTACCAGTGCTGCAGGTAAAACGTGGGTGTTCCCGTACATGTTGTCGAAATGCTAATGATCGTTGTTCCTCTCATAAATGTTCGGTCTCCCCACATCCCTTCCACCCCCACGCACACAGCACAGCGCCCTCCGCGTGCCGATGGTGCTCCATAGCTCATGGGAGGGATTCAGCTGATCCTGCTTTGGTAGCTGCTCTGGACATAGACCTGGCACGGTCGTGTGCTGAGAGACGCGTAGCCGCGTTCAAGTGCTGGGCCTGGATAACCCGTTAAAAACTTGATTGCAACCACAAAGGCAGTCTTGGCCGCAAGCTGTGCAAAAGTGATGGCGCTGATGGGGAATAGACCCGGAGTGGGGGGGCCGAGCCTGATGCCGCGGCCCGGGGGGGGGGGGTCCCAGAGGAGCTGCAGGGAAGAGGACAAGAACTTGGATTCTGCTTTTTCAGTTTCAGTAAACCTGTTGGATAACTGCTGAGGCTGTTGGAACAATTTGGCTTTTTTAATACACGTGCATGATTTTAATCAGCTGTATCCCCTAGCTGAAATTAGCCGTGAATAGACCAGTATTGCGGCCATTCAAGGTTTTTGCAAATGGTAGTCCTTTTCGGGAGAAATCTGTGGGAAATTTGGTTCAGTTTTAAACATGTATGGCCCCTTTCCAGGAACAAACAAGTCAAATCTCACAGGTGCTTGTAAGAGAAAGAAATACTGCATTTGCAAAGAACGGTAAAGTGAAGCTCAAGAACCCATAGATAAAAACACACCTTTTAGATCCTTTTTTTAAATAGGTACAGTATTCTTAAATACTGCTCTTTTGTCCTTTATGGACAGATCGAAAAGTATGATGGTTTGGTGTACACTAAAAAAAATGTGGAAAGCTTGCCTTTTTGTTATCATAATGTCATTATTTCTCACCAGCCAGCTGCGATACTGATGGTATTGACCCCTCGGGACAATGGAAGTGTGCACGGAGAGGTTGCCACTGCTCTAAACTGTTCTTATTGATTGAGTGTGATAACAGAAGGCCAGCGGTGTGCCCGTCGCTGGGTGTGTTGCACTAGTTGTGTACCTGGTCAGGGCAAAAGGAGGAGAGGGGAAGCAGATACGGGTTTTTTACCAGAAATGCTCTTCTCCTCGAGCTGCCCAGCGTTAATGCTTTCAGCCAGAACAAGGTTTGGCAAAAATACATGGTTGCATGAATGGTTTGCAGACTCTTCAAACCCTTCTGTCGGGACGGTTTGGTGACATTCTGCATTCAAGCAAAGATCAGAAATCTGGTGTGAGTAGTCTCTGTACCCGAGCTGCGCTTTTGACCTGTCTGTGGAACGATGTGAACATCTGGCCAAGGTCTAAAACGGTGAAAAATTTCTTTTCACAAATCTGTCCAAATCTCAGTAGAGATTTCTGTTATTATTTTAGTGGTTAAGTTTCTTGCGAATTACAGCTAGGCTGGGTACAACCCAGGATGTTCCTCTCCGCTACCGAGGGCCGTGCCCTCTGTAATGAATGAGCCTTCCTCTCCTTTACATCCCGCTGGAGCAAGTAGCGGTGGGAAACCTCCGTGAGTGAAACACAGGGGGAGCAAAAGCCGGAACTGAAGCTCTGCAAGAGCCACCTGGTAGCCGTGCAAGGAAGGGCATGGCCAGGACTCAGACGGGTGAAGCCTTTGGCCAGCACTGGGTCTCCAGGCAGGGAGAGCAAGACTTGCAGAAGCAGCCAGAAGAGGAAGGCTCCAGCAAGTCAGCGGCTGAGGGACCAGGACGATGGGACAGGGCTGCGGAGGAGGGAGGACTGGGCAAGGATGATCTGGAGTACGAGGGGAGAGCAGTGAAAACCATAGGAAGAGCAAGATGGCTGCAGGACGCTGCCCGTGGGACATGACAGTGAGTTGGTCTTGCCCCTCCCAGGTGAAAATGGGGAGCTGGGAGAAAGGTTCTATGTGTCACTTCCCAGCACTGATGCATGGAGGGAGTGATAGACTGCTGCTGCCAGTGGCAGATGCTGGGGTGCCCAGCAATCCCTGTCGGGCCAAGGTACCGCCACTTCTCCTTGAGCTATGGCCAGAACGGAGCTTGGAAGTGGCATAATGTGAAACTGCAGGAAGAGATAAAGAAGCCTTGGGGAAAAATAGAAGATGTTTGGCAAAAGAACTAGAAGTTAAACTGGGAGTAAACAGGAGGGCTCATGAGAGCTGTGACTGAGAACTGCTGACGTTGCTGTAAAACCGCAGCCAGCTTCGGGGGGGTGGTGGGGAAGACCCTATGAACGGAGCAAGAGGAGGTAAATGAAATATTGGTCAGCTGCATCTGTACTCTGCTGCCTCAGTATCTGAATGCTTTGACACAGAGCGTTAACATCCAAATTACGCGTTTGGATACCATTAACGTTTTAAGCTACTGTCTCTACTGTATCAGTCTGTTACTGTCTAGAACAAAAGCACTAAATGAAGTGCTACGCCAGAGGTGAACCTCTGGTAAAAAACTGCAAGACCAGGTGAAAATGTTCCATCCCAGAAATCCCTGTGGACGAAACACAGGTTTTGACTTTGATTGGTGTAATGAGTGACATGAAAGAAATACCCTGTGTCATCTCCCCTCCCCTGCCCTCATGCTTGCAGACTTGGCTAGGAGGCCACAGGAGCAGCTCTCTGAGGCCACAGCGTTGCCATCAAGGAGGGCAGTCGCCAGCTTCGGAGGGCACCTTACCCACTGCCAGCTCCTTCTTTCTCAATTTTACCACTTGTTTTCGTTTCCTTGTGAAACCGAAGCCAAACCTAGCTCATATCCTTGTTTTGTTTTGTACACACCACCGATGTTAGAGATGAAATATTTCATTAAGTACAACTTTGCCTTGCAAATTTAAAGTCAAGGCGGCTGAGCCCCAGCTGTCATTGATCACCATGGCAGGGTGAGATGGACTCGTGTCCTGCATTCGGTCCCCTCGCTCCCCCAGAACAAGGGGCCGTTGCACACCGGCATGATGCCTGCTGTGGGCATTTTGGTATGGCTCTGCCCTGTCTCCAGGGGCCGGGGACAGCAGCCAGCAGTCCCATTACTCTTCCTTCTGTTGTCTTTAAAATAAGATGAAAAACCAAGATCCTGACCACTTCTTGCCATCAGAGATCCCATAATGTTTTCGTAAGAGCACAGACACCTAGACAGATGTTCTGGCCAAAGTCTGGGTAATTGGATTCCACCTTCTTGAGCGCACTGCTGCTTCAGTTGCGTTTGGTGGTGCTCAGTTGCATTTGGTGGTGTTCAGTTGCGTTTGGTGGTGATGCTCAGTTGCGTTTGGTGGTGATGCTCAGTTGCATTTGGTGATGCTCAGTTGCGTTTGGTGGTGTTCAGTTGCGTTTGGTGGTGATGCTCAGTTGCATTTGGTGTTGTTCAGTTGGCGTTTGGTGGTGTTCAGTTGGCGTTTGGTGGTGTTCAGTTGTGTTTGGTGGTGTTCTTCGCTTTCTGCCCCAAACCGCTGTGCTGGTGCCGTGCTGATGGCTGCGGCGCTGAGGGGCACTGACCTCAGTGGTTGCTCAGATGCTTGCAAAAAAAGATCTGCGCTTCCAGGGTGGAAGCAGAGACTTCCAAGCAGGGACCCTGTCCAGGGCTTGAGAAGCGGCCGTAAAGGGTCGTTTCCAGCTTCACCCATTTGCCCCTCTGTTCCCACTCAGTTCCCAACCTTGGGGCCTTGTGAACAGTCTGGGGAGCAGGGAGGGGGGGTCAGTGCAACGTGGCAAACCCTTCCTCGACCTCCGAAGGCCCTCAGAGGGCCAGCCCGACGGCTGCTGCTCTCGCCTGCGTCGAAGGGGAGCAGCGGAGGGGATGGACGTGCAGCTTGGCCTGCTGCATGCTCAGTTTCCTTCTTATAACTAAGTGATAGCAGTAATAATAATAGTGATAAATTTTTATATACTGAAAGCTGGCACTTCCTTTGTGGCGTGGAAAAGACGCTAACACTGAGTTTATATAACACAAAATTTCTTTGAACTTCAGCAGAGGTTATTGATAAAACGCGAGAATCAAACAGGAGGGTATTGCTAAAAATGCAGGCTGTAAAACCAACAAGGTAAACCCATGCACATACAAAGAGCAGACTGGCTTCACGTTAGGGTGCTCTTTTCAGCCAGCCCTGCTGGCGCCCTGGGTGACACGGCACGGGGATCCTGCTTCCCGTTCCGTAGTCCTCGCGCCGGCACCGAGCTCAGCAAGAAGTCGCGCCTGAGCGAAGCGCGGCCGCGTGGGATGCACGGTCAGAGTTGCTGCAGGTCGGTGTCCTGTTGTGCGTGAAACTCAGCACGCTGCTTCTCCTGAAGAAATAACAGGGTTTGGTTTTCTTTGTGTTGAAATAATGACCGCAGCATGCTATGAGCTGCAAACCCGGGTATTTTGAACAGGCAGAAAGCAGTGGTTTTAGTGTAAGACGTTTTCTTCTGAACTTAGAACCTTTTCAGTCATGCAAGAAAGAAATTAAAAGTATGGCCTAAATGTCTTGGCTTCTCTTCCCAGTCGTTTTTCCTCCACTGTTCCCTCATTTTTTCTTTTCTTCTGGAAAAAAAAAAAGCTGTAGCTTCTCATGACTTAGCTGCTTTCTCTATGCTGTTGGTAAATAGGAGCTTCATACGTGAGGTATTTGTCATATATCCAGTCATACCAGAGTTTGTGTTTTCAACCAAAGGAGGATGTGATCAGTCCCATATAATTAGAAATTACTTCTTTAAGCTTCTTGGTATTCTTAGCTGGAACGTGTGTGGTGCATCCATTTATCCTGCAAATGGATCAACCAAACCCTTTTGCACTGGAGGGAGAGACAGAGAAAGCTCTGGTCACTTCTCCTAGCAGGCTTATGGGCTTAATTAGCGAGCGTTTGAATTCCGAAGGAAGTTGTAAGCAATTGTAACAAAAGCCTTGAAGTACTATTTCAGAGTTTGGTTTTTACATGATATTTTAATTAT